ATTAACAAGGAAGCATAGCATCATTATACTAGGTATTTTACTTGCATTAAACTTTTAATAGTTTCTTACATAAGTAGCATAACATGGTTTGCTCATAGTGCAAAGCTTCCACAGTTAGCAGTCATAGCAAATTTCTACACACATATACCTATTCATCTTCAGCTAATTAACTAAATATCTTAAAGACAGCTCCATATTTTCAAGTAGGGCACAAGCACCGTTCATCTTCCACCTTCTGGTAGTTTTCTAGGTTAAGAATCATCTCATTCAGTTTAGCTTTCACTCATCTGTTTTCATTCATATTAAACCTTGATTACTAACGTTGCAATAAAAAAACAGTTCATAAAATTTGATTTGCTACAAGTGAAAAACACTGCATTATCGGCAAATAAGAAAGTATGATCAGATCAATGTAGTATATAAGGCTTTTCACTTGCATTAAACTTTTAATAGTTTTTAAGTAGATGACACAACATCGTAGTTCATTCAATAAGCTAACTTCTTTAATGAATTTAATATTTTCAACTATTTGTTCTTAAACCTTACAGATTTACCAATGAGTTTTTATAGTTAACTTCAATAAGTTGTTATAGTTATCACTTGCATATCGGAGCTAGATTCTAATATACGTACGCAGAGGAATAGTGAAGGTAGCTTGGTAGAAGAATGCCGCTACTAAATTTAACTATTTATATTCCTCCTGTTAACATAATAATGGATATATGAATATAACATTCAATTGTTTTTGTTGTTGCAGCTTCATGTATCTCAAACAATTGTGAACATAAACTAATATTACTTGTTTATTTGAAAAAGCTGAAGGGAAAATGGGGAAGGATGGATCACCAAAACATTATATTCAGTTTGACTCAAAGAGAAACCGTCTGACATGGATTTTAGGGGTTAGTGGATTATGCATTTTATCTTATGTACTGGGTGCATGGAGGAACACTCCATCACCCAATAGCCAATCTGAGATCTACTCCAAAGTAGACTGCAATTCTGGGTCAACTTCATCAGGCATGGCATCTTCAGCAGTTCAATCATCAACAAACTTAGATTTTGAAAGTCACCATCAAATTGAAATCAATAATTCTGGAGGGACAAAAGAGTTCCCACCATGTGACATGTCATATAGTGAATACACTCCGTGCCAAGATCGAGATAGGGGTCGCAGGTTTGACCGTAACATGTTGAAGTATAGGGAGAGACATTGCCCCAGCAAGGAGGAAGAATTATATTGTCTTATCCCTGCTCCACCAAAGTATAAGCCACCTTTCAAATGGCCTCAAAGCAGAGATTTTGCTTGGTATGACAATATTCCACACAAAGAGCTTAGCATTGAGAAAGCAGTTCAAAACTGGATTCAAGTAGAGGGTGACAGATTCAGATTCCCTGGAGGAGGTACCATGTTTCCACGTGGAGCTGATGCGTACATTGATGACATTAATGAACTTATTCCCCTCACCACTGGTACCATCAGAACTGCAATTGATACTGGCTGTGGTGTGAGTTAATCTATCTTAAACTTATCTTCATTTCTTTCCATAAACATGATTCACCGAGTATTCCAATGCTGAAGAAGAATGACTAAACTGTCTTTATTTGTGTCTATGGCTCTATTTGACTTTTTAGTCTAATTTCTATACCTTCTCAAAATAAAAATTTACCTTATTAATCCATCAGAAATCTCGATAGACTAGATATTCTTCTAAGGAGACTACATCGATAAAGTTAACAAATTTATCATTCTACGTATGTTTGTTTTTGGTGTGAAGGATGTGTTCCTTATATTTAACTCCTCCTTGCACATCTAATTATGAAGGTTGCAAGTTGGGGTGCTTACCTCTTGAGAAGGGAGATCATAGCTATGTCCTTTGCACCTAGAGACACACATGAAGCTCAGGTCCAGTTTGCATTGGAACGAGGAGTTCCAGCAATGATAGGTGTCATGGCTTCACAGAGAATTCCATACCCAGCAAGGGCGTTCGATATGGCTCATTGTTCTCGTTGCTTGATCCCTTGGGAAAAATATGGTATTCACACTTCTCTTAGTATGAGGACAATTTGTTTTTACTAGCTGTGAATTAAGTACATCTATTAAAGGGACCCATTTTTTGCTTGAATTCATAAATTGAACTGCTTTGGTTTTATTCGTAAAAGAAAAATGGTTATATTTAATTTTTAAGTAAAAAAAAAAGAATTTGCACTTTGACCGGTGATTTAAGCCTCTAATTTCCATTCACAGATGGCATGTATTTGATCGAAGTGGATAGAGTTCTGAGGCCTGGTGGCTATTGGATTCTCTCTGGCCCACCTATTCGTTGGAAGAAATACTGGACCGGGTGGGAAAGGACCCAAGAGGATTTGAAGCAAGAACAAGACGCTATAGAGGAAGTGGCCAAACGCATATGTTGGAAAAAAGTGATTGAGAAGGATGACCTAGCCATTTGGCAAAAGCCTAAAAACCACATGGGATGTTTACAAACTAAACAGATTTATAAAACACCACACATATGCCAATCCGACAATGCTGACAGGGCTTGGTAATTCTTTATATCATTTCTATTACAACTAAACTTATATACAGTTCCATAAATAGTTTTGGCGGTGTATCAAACTCAACATTCATCTTGGTAACAAAATGTCACAATAAATAACCTCACTCAAATATGCCAAGAGTATTCAATGCTTTAGTCTGTGTATATAGAAAAATACATGTATAGAGAAGTCAATCTCTTAAATAGATTCTGTTCTTTGAGATATCTAGGTATATTGTGTTCACGTTGATAACCTAAATGTTGATATTGGTGAAGTCTTGGTTGTTCATGCCATTTTGTTTGTTTAATTGCATTGAAAAGGTACCAAGATATGGAAAAGTGCATAACTCCATTGCCAGAAGTTAGCAGCCCAGACCAAGTAGCTGGGGGGGCGCTTGAAAAATGGCCTAAGCGTGCATTTGCCGTCCCTCCCCGAATTAGCAGTGGTTCAATACCAAACATCAATGAGGAGAAATTTCAAAAGGACAACGAATTGTGGAGGGAAAGGATAGTCCATTACAAGCATCTGGTTCCTCTTAACCGAGGAAAATATAGAAACGTGATGGACATGAATGCTTATCTTGGTGGGTTTGCAGCAGCCTTAACGAAATATCCAGTGTGGGTTATGAATGTTGTTCCCTCAAATTCAGACCATGACACACTGGGTGCAATTTATGAACGAGGTTTTATTGGAACTTACCAGGATTGGTGCGAAGGTTTTTCAACTTACCCAAGAACATATGATCTCATCCATGCTGATAATGTATTTGCCATATATCAGGACAGGTGGGTAAACATTTGCACATTATCTAATGAACTCTTTAGCTTATGTTGTTTCTCCCCATGAAGTCGTGTCTTATGTGGTTTTGACTGAATTAATATTGTGTGTGGAAGGTGCAACATTACTAATATACTACTGGAGATGGATAGAATTTTGAGACCCGAAGGTACTGCTATATTCAGAGAAACGGTAGAGCTTCTGGTAAAGATTAAAACCATTACTGACGCAATGAGATGGAAAAGCAATATAATGGATCATGAGAGCGGACCCTTCAACCCTGAAAAGATTCTTGTTGCAGAAAAAACTTACTGGACTGCCGAAGCTAAAGAGAAACAAATCTAACAGATAGGATTATCTTTACAACTGTGTTCTTATACCTTTTTGTTTGTCCTTAGAAATTAAATTGTAATTAGATGTATGTTTTACCTTGCATCTTTGTCTTGACATATTCTTCCTATTTTATTCCCTTATTTTAAAGAATGTGTTACTACCTCCTGAAATCATTATCTTACTTTATTGCCTATTTATGTTTTTCAAAGATAAGGTTTTCACTTTTCATTATGCATTACTAAAATGCCAATGTTCATTTTATCACTCAGATAAGAAAATACAATAACTTCTCGTTATAAACTTCAGAATATATGACAAACTTTATGCAGGTTAAAGTTCTAATTGTACTACACAAAAATGTTCTGCATCACAAAAAGAAGTTTAAAGAAATACGATGTTTCCTCCTAAAAGTGCCACATACAGAAGATATACAAAGAAAGAGTAGTATTATGGAATGAAGAATGATAGAATGAAGAGTAGGAATTAAGAAAGGTAGAGGTATGAATAAGCAGCAAGATTGAATGTTCAAGGACCTACGGCGGCTATAGACGGGTAATAGATTTTAGAAGTAACAATTATTAGTAAGATAAATTTTAAGAAGCAAAACATTATAGTTCATTGAAGAAAATGACATAGTTTGTAATATAATTTTATTATTCTTGACGTAAGAAATCTTATTTTAGTCCATTAAGTAAACAAAAATTCAATGTAAGGGAGATTAGATTGATATCAACAGCGAGAGATCAAGAAAAAAAAAAAAAAAAAGCGCCAATGGCAATGAGATCCACCTGCCAAGCAAATACAACATATTACACATCAGTTACTTGCTTTAAACAGAGTTAAAATTTTAACCAAATCTCTTAATGAATCAATTACCGCCGCTCTTCCTAACAAAGCCAAATGTTGAGAAAAACTTTCTCTATAATTTAGGGATGTGGTAAAAAATAGATAACTCTGATTTCATTTACTAGTTGAGTTTAAAACGGAGTTGGAGGAATGCCGGCAGTTTGTCAGTCCCGGTATGGTGCAACCGTACGTACACAGGAAAAGGTTAGGGCCATGATCTCATTGCCTTCAGAACTCAAGCTATACATAACTGTAAAACATGCATGTATTACATACACCATCTCCTCTTTACTAATTCAGAACAGACATTTAGTAATAAGAAACCGAATAAGCAAAAGGTGTCCAGATAAGATTTTCATTTTTTCTTCAGAAGAAATAAATAAAACACACAAATACACAAAGCTATTATATAGTCACCCATCACTACCAGAGTTTCATCTTGCCCCCAAATTTTCCAGTCTATGTTTTTATGACTTTTTGCATTTGCATTTCCATTTGCAGGATCAGTCAGCAGTCATTGGTTGAGTCATGCAACACCTGAACCGGGCCTTCCGAACTGTTGTCAATATCTCATTCTCCGCATTCTCGAGCATTCCTACAATTTCAGCAAATGGTGGCCTCACATCAGGGTTGGGATCCCAGCATCTTGTCATGATGTCACGGAGTACAGGTAAGCAATCGTTGGGTATGATTGGGCGAACATTTTTGTTGACAACTGCAAATGCTGCCTGTACTGCTGTCATGTTCTGAAATGGAAGCATCCCGGTGATGAGTTCCCATAGAACAATCCCAAAGCTATATACATCCACCTTTTGTGTGTAAGGCCTGTGCTGGATCATCTCCCTGCAATTCATCAGCAAACAAAATATCTAAATACTACACCAAATTATTTTTAATATAAAGAATAAAACAGTTAACACTAACTATGAAGTTTGCATTTCAAACATGTTGGATAACTGGATAGTGGTCATAGCAGAAACATGAAAACATGCAGACTCTGGATCCAACTTGATTAGAGTAATATTATGTGTGATGAATGAAGCTGTCCACACAGTCTAAATTACATAAATCTCCCAGATATTGTTCAGTATTGAATACCAGCAAGTTCTAGAAAGCTAAGAATATCCTTCACTAAGCAGAAGAATAGCCTTAGAAAGAAAAGATAGAAAGAAAATGGTGAATATATCATTAATCATTACAAGAAAGTCATTAAAAAAAGGCAAATAATAGCATTCCAATTCCTCTGAATATCTAACAAGGAAGGAACAAGTTTCACGGATGTGGTTTCCCTTTGAATAACACCAAATAGAATCAACCAAACCAACTGATCAACTCTCCTTACACACTCCCCAAACTAACTGATCAATTTCCTGCCGTAAATAGTCCCCCAGTCGCATAGTCCTAACCTCATCTGAGTCACCAAATTAGTCCCTATAAGATTAGTCTATCACCAAATTAATATCCCAGTGGTCTAAAATGGAGTAAATTAATAACAAAAAGAATATCAGAGACTAATATAGTAACAAATTAAATCTTTGATAGACTAATTTGATCACAAGAAATTTTCAATAATTAAATTGAAGGCCTACACTGTTAATATTACCAAAAAAACAATTAATGGAATCTATTTCAAGGCAGAGAGCATGAAAGTGGTTAAAAAACCCAAGAAATTAAATGTCCAATAGAAACATAACTCACTCTTCATACAATGACTGTGACCCATCAAGACATGATCACCTGCATCATGATATGTATGAGATAATGCAGGAATGGGATATGCCCACAATCAAATAGTTTTAACACTTCATAACACTACCATAATATTGCTAAAATGCAAAGCATCAACACATGGCTATGACGGCAATTACATATCAAGACATGCAACCATCACATGAAGCTTATAGTGCAGTCTGGGGAGGGTCAATGTATACAAGCTATATGGAACAATATATGTCAGACCAGCTGGGTCACCCAAAGATGGGTTAGTTTAGTTAAAGGGGAGCACTATGGCATAACCAAAATCACTCCTTCACTTAAACCAAACATGAGAGAATGAAAGTTATCTTAAGTTTACACCATTCTGTCTACCTTATTGCATACCAGCTAGGCCACTACGATATATGGGTAGTCCTAAACAATTGCCACAACCCTATCAGGTAAAGTATACAGCATCAGTATTTATAGGATATATGTGTATACATATGAATACATACCCAATATTCACTTATGTACAGGTTTGATGCTAAATGAAACGCAAACTGCTACTTGACTTCTCCCATACTTTCACCTTCTCTAAATACTTTTGTCCATATTGAGTAAGAACTTATGAACATTTTAGTTTGTTTGTTTTTTTAATAACATAATCTACATCCATTCAATATAGCACACCATGATTAAAATAATAAACACACAAAAGACCAAAACAAACAACTGCTTCCACTACCTAAAGCCAAATACAAAATACAAAAATTCACTCTGCCAAAATTGCTCTACAAAATACCATCAAATGGCATAAACAACTTAACCCCATCACCCTAGCACTTACCCTAAACCACAGCAAGATCACAAACTGAAAACCAAGCTGTGGCAATATTGATTTATTTAACTTATCGTTGACATGAGCTAATAACCAGAAAGACTAAGGAGAAGCCCATAAATATTGGATTTGTCTGATGAATGAGCAATAGGTTGCAAGAATTGTCCTAGGATATCCAAAACTTGGTCAATGATCCTCTAAGCAGGATTGTCAACTCTACCACCAAAATATGTGCACAATGGTTAATGGCTGCTAGCCGGCAGTGTGTAATGCATCAACACAAATGTATCAAGCCACAGAGATGTGAGAAATTAATAAAGGAAAAAAATATCCCGAGATTCACAAATTCATCCAGCCAAAATTTTCTGAGGTCAGATTAAAAGATTGATTGTTTATTCAGTACAGATACCAATACATCTGTGGTTTTCCAAGTATGGAATTGGGAGGCTGGGTACACAAATAAAACGGAAAATAGATTAAAGAAAAAATTGACAGGACCAGACCTTTATAATCCCTAAACCATGAATGTGCAAAAGTCAAAAGAAAAAGGAAATAATTTAAAAAGAATATCAACAAGTAGGCACCAAAAACAAGAGCTAATTTGTAAACTTCCAATCATGTCAAGTGAAACTTCCAATCATGGCAACTTTCAGATAATAGCATTATCATTAAAACTTGATACTAAGATAGATGATGATGAGGCTCAAGCTTCACTTTGACACCCAACTGCAATTATCTTTCTGAAGGGTTAGTCTGATGCAGTGTAGACATGCCCTTACCATTTGGGTCAAAACAAAAGACACAGAAGGAGATTTTCTTCCACTTCTTGATGCATGAAAGATAATGATAACAACAAGACAATGTGAGATGGTGATTAAACAAAATGTATATCACAATTAAATGATAGTGAAAAATATTTAGCTAAAAGTACAAATTATAAAAATAACAGAACAAGGTTAACCAGAGCTCGGCAATATGAAAGCTAAAAGCAAACAAAAAAACTGTACACTAAAAATATATATATATCTCATAAGGAAATTACATAATTACTACTTCAGCTGTATATGCCATTTCTGTTCAGGATCACAATTCACAAGCAACTGATTAGGAACAAAGAAAACAAGATATAAAAACAAAAATGAGCAATAGTTTGTAAGCAGTATTTAAAATATAAGCAATATTCCCTTCAATACATACCTTTAAAAAGTTAACAATAATAGAGAAGCTGTCCAAAAGTAATTCCAGATGCATGAAGCTAGATAGCATATTAATATAAAAATAAAAATAAAAGTAAATGATCTTACGGAGCCATCCAACGGTACGTTCCAGTCTCAGGTGTCATTCCTTCAGTTTGCACCTCAATTCGGGCAACTCCAAAGTCAGCAATTTTGATTGATTTGTCACCGAAAATCAAAAGATTATCGGATTTCAAATCCCTGTGGATCAATCCAAGGCCATGAACATAAGCCATCCCCTTTGCAACATCCAAAGCTTGTTTGACAGCCAATTTGAGGGGAACCGATCGCTTTTGACGCTTCATTAAAAATTGTCGAACTGAACCACCTTTGGCATACTCAGTTACAATGCACCACACCATTGGCTTGCGGCATGCACCAATGAAACGAACAATGTTAGGGTGCTTTAGTGTAGCCAACATCATGACCTCCTGCTGGAACTGTTGTTCCATCAATTGAGCCTTTGCTGGATCATTTTCAGGCCTCTCCAAGATTTTGATAGCAACATCTTCACCATTGTAAGTACCTCTGTAGAGTTTCCCAAAAGCTCCTTGTGCAAAAGGCTCACCCATATTGAGTTTCCTCAAATCAATTGTCCACTCATCAAAATTGTTAAGTCCTTCAGTGGGAGAACTATTGTCCATTAGAGCTTGAGCTAAAGCATCATCACTCAAAGCATGTGTAACCCTTCCCCGACGATTGGCACTGTGTGCAACAGAGTAGTTATCGTTGGCCCGCCTCCTCAACCCTTGGTGGTCCAACATGCGGGTATGGGAATCATTGGACCCAACACTGCTGTTATCAATGGACATCGCAACAGATCCTCCACCGTTACTTGTCTGTAAGCTCCCAACACTGTCAATGGACATATTGGTACCCTCCCCAAGCTTATGGTAAAAGCCTTGAGAGAAATCATAGTAGTTGTCATTATTTTTGTTGAGATCTATTATTCCCGGGAATTTCGCACCTCCTTCCAACATTTTTTCACACAGAAGAGCAAAGCCTTCAAACTCTATTATTTCTTCAGCATCAGAGATTGCAAATCAAACCACACCTGGAGAATCCCTAAAGCCAAAATAAACCCAAATAAAAATTTAGCATTTCAACATAAAAAATTTAATAACAGCAACAATAGCAACATCCATGCATGCATTTGTCACATTATCAATTACACATGCCAGTAGGAGGAAGAAAACTAAAGCTACTCCAATTGCAAACAGGATTTATAACAAACAAAAATGTAAAAGCTGTTCTAGATAACATCACCAAGTTAAAAACACCTCCAATATCCAACACCATCAATTTTTTCCAAACTTGGAACAAAATGCACTTCACATAAGTAGTTTAAAGAAGGAAAAACATTTAAACCAAAATAACCCTCTACCAAAACAAATTCCAAAAACAAACCCTCAAAGACCAGATTTCCAAGTTCAAATCCACGCATACCATGACTTCTCCCGAACACAACACGTTCCGAGATAATAGGTAAAAAATTAACAACAAATAAACGAAAAAACACCGATTACAAACACAAAACTCGTGTAGCTACACATGCCTCGCACATCAGACACATAGCAAGCAAAATTTAAATAGAATTTTTCATATATACCCATAAGCAGAGAGACGAATACACCGACAAAACACAGCAAAAGTCAATAATTACGAAAAATTAAAAAAAAAAACTATATATAGAAAACTCTGAAACCTCTCAAACCAGCTTTTCAGTCAAATCCCAGCCGAATATTGACGAAGCGGACACTGATCTTAAGAAAAAATAGCGAAAAGGGTGAAAACATTGACAAACCCTAAAATCTGAAAAGGGTTCAGAAGTTACAGATTAAGAAGATGCAGAGACGTGTACCTCAACGGAGAGAGCCCAACTTAACTACGCGAACTGAGGTAAGAGAATCGTCAAAAGGAAGGTGGAGAGATCGAAGAGAGAAAAATCAAACGAAAATGGACAAGATTGAGTTCTTCCCGTACAAAGGAAGCCAGAGACCAGAGAAGAAGCTCAGAAGAAAATGAAACGGATGACTTTCTTTTTTATTTTTCTATTTATTTACCTGAGTTTTTATATGCCTAGTCTTTTTCCCCTCCTCTTCTAACATTCTAAAGTCTTCGTTGTTTCTTTTTCTTCATCCCTTTTATTCTTTTTTTTATTATTATTAATACACTCTACCATATGAACACAATTGAACTGACACACATTTTAATCTAATAAATAAAAAGTATAATTAAAAAATTGGTTAAATAATTATTTTATTATTTATTTTTATTTTAAAATTAATTATTATATACTAATTTTAAGTATAAGATATCTATTTCTTGTAAAACTTATATATTTTTATTTAACTAAAATATTAAAATTTTGTGAATTCACCACGGTCAAATGTAAGTTAAGCACTTTGGACACAGTTGAGGTAGAATCGAGTACCCGCGGCACACTCACACTTTTGGTGCATCCCCGCTAAGTACGCTAAACGTTTTTACGTTTCTTGACTTTTTGGACCGAAACCTACCTCCGTTATCGTCGTAGCTAACCCCACTGCTTGTCTTTTCTTTCACCGTCAAAATCAGAATAAATGCATATAGTGAGTTTCAATATTAAATATATAAAAATATTAACGTACATTCTTTATTAATTAATAATTTTTTATTTTAAAATATAAATATTTAAGATTTGTTGTATATCATTTTAATATTTTTATATAAAATTATTTATAATAATTTATTATCTTCTTTTTTATATAATAATATAATCTTAAATTTTTAAAATTATTAATTATTTAAGTTTTTTATTTACAGTTAATAAATATGTAATAAATTTTATGTGAAAAATATAAGAAATATATGTGTGCATAATTAATTTTATATTTATATAAAAGTAAAGTAGGTAACATTAATGTAATGTTTAATACCAATGAATTATTAACTTTTTTTATATATATAACTGATGAATGTTATTAATATATCATTTAGTAATTATATATTTTTTATGTGGTTCTAGTACACTGTAAATTTGAACTATGTCATGAGTTTAAGTGAAAAATATAAGAAATATATGTGTGCATAATTAATTTTATATTTATATAAAAGTAAAGTAGGAAACGTTAGTGTAACGTTTAATACCAATGAATTATTAACTTTTTTATATATATAACTGATGAATGTTATTAATATATCATTTAGTAATTATATATTTTTTATGTGGTTGTAATACACTGTAAATTTGAACTATGTCATGAGCTTAATAATTCATGTCTAATTAACTCAGTTATATTTTTTTATATTCACATATTTTCTCTATTTTTAATAAAATAAATATCTTTTTATATTTAGTAAATTATCACTAATATTTTTTTTAACAATACCATATTAACTAAAATTTAAATTATAAAATTAAAACTATAAAATAAACATATTGTCATTAAAATATAAATTATCTTAAAAATATAAAATATATAGAGAGATAAATTTTTCTTTAATATAAAATAAATATCAATAACATATATGATTAAATTTATTAACTTTTTTATCATTTTAATACAAAATAAATATACATAAAATAAAATAAGAAGTCTGGCTGTTACTCTTTATAATGAGATATATGAATAAAATTCAAATGTGATGTGAATTTTTTTTTCCCTGGGAGAGTTTATCTATATTCACTATGTTAAAAAGTATATAAAAGATATTAATGTCTACTATAAATATTAGAGGACTGTGTATATTAATTTATTGAAAATATAAACTATAAAACTTTTATTTTCCGATAACTTTACATCTTTGTTACAAATTTGCCCATTTTGCACTCTGATAAAAAAATCTTTATTTTGTTTATGATAATTTTTTTATTTATATATTTTACTAAATTTTATTAATAATGATTTATTCCTTAAGTGATAACATAACAAGTAGGACTAATAGGGTTTTTTTTTTTTAATTACATTTCATTGTTGATATCTAATAAATTTTTTTTCATTTTGATATTTCATTAAATTTTTAGTTTTGTTTTAATTTTATGACCTATTAATCTTAATCTTCGTTGTTCATTAAATAATTATGGATAAATAAGGTGACTTATATATATTTTTTAAAATATTAATCTAATAAATTTTTCATGTAAATGATTCAAAACAATATACCAATACCACAAAGCTACAAAATGGAGTTACAATGTTATAACAGAGTTTATCACTTTTGATGTTAAAAATCTTACATCAATATTGTAATATTTTTTATTAAATAATTATTAAGATATCTTTTATTTAATTATTTCATTTAATATAATTTTTGTAACCTAGTTAAAGAATCTATTAAGTTATAATAATAGTCAAGTATCATTGTCTTAAATATGGTGTACAAACAATTAATAAGAAATATACTAATTTATCTTGATAAATTAATAACTACTACATTTCTACATTACCCCTTTAAGATCTAATAAATAGAATTAAGCAATAATTGTAAAAAAAAAATTGAACTTTCAATTTAAGTATATATATAAAATAAAAACTGATTAAAGATTTGTCTACTTACTTATATAATTTTTCTTTTATTTAAGTGATAAAATTATAATATCACACCGTTCAATCATTTTAAAAGTTTAATATTTTTAATAATTGTTTAAAAACTTTAATTAATCAGTATTGTATTGTATTTTAACAAAAAAATTAAAAAGTTTTATAATTTGTAATCTATTTTTATACTTATAATTCATTATATACAAATAAATAAAAAATCATAAATTTCTAATAACATGTCATGTTTATAATTATTTCATATAATATTTTATTAATAAATAGAAAAGTGATAATAGAAAAATATGCGAAAAATATGTTATGTATTTTTTATTTTGAAAAATATTCAAAGGAGGTATAAATATACGAGAATACAAGGTAATAAACCTATACACTAATCTATCCATGAAAATCAGTAAAATATTCTTTCTATAAATATTGTACATAAATGTGCATAAATAACGAAATAAAATTGATTATATTATACTAAATCTTATCATAATTTAATTATTTTAATTGATAATGTTGATCTTCAATACTCTTCTTCAATCTGGGTGGTAAATGTCTATCATACCCAGATTAGATCTAATGTATTCATATGTATTTTTTAGAAGAGATTTTGTCAGGATATCTGTTGCTTGTCTGCATGATGGAATATGGTCAACACTTATAATATCATGACCAATTTTTTCTTTAATGAAATGTCGGTCAATTTCCACATGTTTTGTCTTATCATGGTAGATTAGATTCTTTACTATGTTTATAACAGTTTTGTTGCCACACATTATCCTCATAGTGTAATTGATAGGAATTTTGATTTCATCTAACATCCTTTTAGCCAGATTTCTTCATAGATACCTTGAGTTATAACTTTAAATTAAGCTTCTGCACTACTTACACCTTGTCACCATAGGTTGCTTTTTGCTTCTCTAAGTCACTAAGTTTCCCCACACAAAGAAATAATAGTCCGTAGTTGATTTCCTGTTAAAGGGACATCCTTCCCAATCTGAGTCATTATAGACTTCAATACCTATGTTTAGATTCTTCTTGAAGTAGAGTTCTCGACCTGGTGTACCTTTGAGGTATAGCTACTAGCCAGGCTGACAGCAAACCCAATGTCGGCTCTGGCGTGAGTTAGGTAGATTAGTTTTCTAACTAGTCTTTGATATCTATTTTTATCAGTTGACGGACTTTCCTCTTCACCTTTCTTTTCTGATTTTATGGGAGTATTGACTGCCTTGTACCCAAGAATGTCAATATCTTGAAGTAAGTTCAGTGTATATTTCATTTGTGAAACATAAACACCATCATTCCTCCGAGCAACTTCTATCCCTAGAAAGTATTTGAGTTCGCCCAAGTCCTTGACTTCAAATGTGGCTAAAAGTCCTTTCAAATGCTTGATTTGATTATAATCGTCTCTTGTGATAACGATATCATCAACATAAACAATAAACAGTGTT